TTTGGCAATAGATTCATTTGCGATGACCCTGGTGAGCCCTTGCCCTGGCACAGCCTGCGAGAAGCTTATGGATAGAAGTGGGCGGAGCAAGGCAACTACGAGGTGGGCCACTTATGGGATGAGGATCGAAACGACTGGCACCCGGATAACGAGGTGCTGGTATCCCTGCAGGGTAGGATGACGAGGGGGCAGAGGGTGGGTGAACTCTGGGAGGCCATCCCTTCCCGATGGACTGACCTGCTGAGAAAGGATCACCCCAGGGGAATGGGTGAGGATGCAGGGAGAGACTAAACCGGAGAGAATTTATAAGGTGGAGCAGGTGTTGGTAGACGAAAGGTGACAAGTCACCGGTTGGTGTGTGAATATGGTGTATGAAGGCGTGGGGGAACGCTTCAATGGAGGATGTAGGTGGGGAAGGGAACCCCCCGAAAAGTGTGGATAGGAGTGCAACAGAAACAGTCGCGATATGTGAGGGAGGGAAGCGGGGGGCGGGGCAATACCTTCCCTTCTGTATTGCGTCCAGGCGGTGGGGTCTGATATGGGATCCTAGAGAATGGGAATGGCCGAGACAAAGAATGCAAAGGACACACGTGCCACTCCAGAATCTTACTACCAAGAATATTTATAACTCTTTACTGGAGCCGGTGAACATCTGTGAGGACCTGAGGGCTCGATGGGCCAAGAGGAATCGGATCCCTGATGCATATTTTGGCAGATGGGCGCACGAAGGTGGAATGAGCAATGGGCACTTCTGGCGGCCCTGCCAGATCAGAAACAGGCAGGCGTGCTATGGCAGCTGTACCATCTAGCAATCCCCACGGCGCAGTGGTTGGCAACTACGAGCTGACACAAGAACCAGAAATGTGCAGCAGGCTGTGCTCAAGTGGAAACAGTGCCCCACCCACCTGTTTGTACGATGCGGGCCTTTTGGGAGTGGTGGGCACAAGGGTTGTCACGTGGGGAGCCCCGGGGCCCGAGCCGGGGGTGCCCACCTAGGTACTCTTTACCTATCCTATGTTCGTCTCTCTTTTAACCTCCCGCTAGCTACCCATATCTACGCCACACACACAAGCCCTCCGACGCAGATAATGGATCACCCCTATTCAGGCGAGATCGGAGCTACTATCTCGAGCTAGGGTCCAAGAGTACCTTCAATTTACTAACCAGAACTAGGCTATCCTAAGGTTATGGGTCTACGCCTACCGATCTCTGCTCTGTGCGGGGAGCAGTACCCGAGCTCCTAACGCCTGGCGTGGGCTGGACAGAACCCGAGCTCCTATAAATTGGAACGAATGGCCCCTGTGCAAGGATGACACGCTTAAATTCAGTAATGGTCCACATTAAAAATAAAAAAAATAAAAATAAAATGCATTTGATATGAAAGGCCGACAACAGAAGTCTGAGGAAACACTGTCATGAATAACAGGACGCAAGCATGTCAGCTTCTGTTCACTTTATGCTCCCTCTCTCTCTCTCTCTCTCTCTCTCTCTCTCTCTCTCTCTCTCTCTCTCTCTCTCTCTCTCTCTCTCTCTCTCTCCACATCCATCCATGTATACATTCATCCATCTATCTATCTATCTATCTATCTATCACCGACCGTTGAAGGCCTGATTTTCATGCTGTTCTCGTACAGTAGTGCAGAGCAGCGGAGTAGTGGGGTGCACTGCAGAGCAGAGCACAGCGAGTCCTCCTTTCATTTTAGTCATTTCTATTTTTGTGTATGCGGTCTGGGGTGAGACGGTGTGATCACGAGAGCCTTGGGGGCGATTGTTGGAAATCGCCTGCAATTATAATTGTGCCATTGTTGTTGAGCGCATTTTGTAATGTATAATATAAATGAAATGTTGAGGATCAAATCTGCTTGGCACTTGCCGATCTCTATAGAAAACTGGACAAACCGTCCGAAGTAGTGTTCTCATGTGAGACACAATGCTGGATGTGGATCTTGGAGCATTTCCTGGAAGACAGAAGGCAAGGGAAAAACGACGCAGCACGTTGTAAAAGTCAAGCGCTGTAGAGTCGATCTGTCCTGTTGTAGTAGTACCAGGAGGTGGGGGACCTAATGCAGGGCTCATGTATTTCTAAGTTGCAGGAGACGTTTCTGGTGCAGACGGGTCATGTACTTCGACCAAGTAGTCGTGGTCTCTCTCTCTCTCTCTCTCTCTCTCTCTCTCTCTCTCTCTCTCTCT